ACGTAATACAACCTCTTTAGAAAAAAAATTTTTGTTTTTATAATTTTATAATTATAAATCTTTGTTTTTGTAATTTTATAATTACACTGCCTAATGGTTATCTCATTATTTTTGCAAAAACAACTATGCTTTGGACAGCTAGTCTTATAAGACTAGATTAACTTAAAACATTGGCATCAGTACAATTTTTTAAAACTGCCTTATAAAATTTTTTCTCTGTACTTTATTTTTCAGCATTACCTCTATTTCAATAGTCTTCTACTGGGGTTATTTTAAGGAAAAAGTATGCAAAAAAGAGATAGTCTATTCTACAATGAGCTGAGGTTTTCCAAGACCAGAAGAATCTACCTTTGTTCATATATTGTGTCAGGTGTCATTCCACAATATTCCATGCCCTAACCTTCTTACTCTCAACTGGTTATAATTACAACAAAGCTCAGGAGGAGGGACAAAGAGGAAGAAGAGTAACTATAGAACAGACAGGGGGCTGGCCGGTTAGCTCAGCTGGTTAGAGCACAGGGTTAGAACACCAAGGTCAAGGATTTGGATCCCCCCACCAGCCAGCCACCAAAAAAAAAAAAAACAGCTACTATATATTCACTCAAAATGTCAACAGGCAAGAATTAAAAACTGCAAGGGCCAATCTTTCATTGTTATGGGTATCTCAGCTGTTGGCAGGTATGATATTGTTTTAAAGTTTTTTCAGACCATTGTTCATAGAGGACCAAGAGAAAGAACTGGACCAAGCCTGGCGGTTCACAGATGCTTCTCCCTGCTGCCAGCCCCTCTGTTTTTTAGTCATGGCACTTACCATTACAACTGGCCTCACTGGGATGTTCTCTTGTGAGATGCCTGGTGGGGGATCATTCCATTCTGGAAATTTAATAACATCCTTTTGGTACGGGGTCTTCTTTGGATATGGCTTCAGGGGTGAGGAAGGAGGAAATCTGAAAACAAAGAAGAAATTATTGCAGTCAGCAGGAGACACAGATATTTAACAATAGTCCCCACTTCCTGTGTCCTTGAGAATTGATACAGTAATTCCAAACTTCAGATAATAAATGAGCTCATATTTAATCAAATTATTACACTTGGCTAATGATACTCAAAAATAATGTAATTTTAAAAAATATTCATTCATTATGCTTGTCAAATAACATTTATGAAAAAACCAGAAATAGAATATGTGAAACATTTTTCAAGTAAATTTTAAAAAACGTGTACTCTGGGCCGGCCCGGTGGCGCAATGGACAGTGCGCCACTTGGGAGTGCGGCGGCG